CTGACAGGCGGCAGCCTTTGCGAACCTTGACAGCAGGCTGGTCTCCTACGCTGTTACCGATTCGCTCATTGCTGGGTCCAGGTGACTCGGACTTTGGCACGGTTCACGACAGCTGAGCTGTCGGTCTGATTGATAGCCGCCATGGCATATGCTACGACTCCTACACCTCCGGCCCTGGATGCCGACTCCCAATCGAGCTTAAAACTTGCGACATCTCTCCCTCAACCAACTTCCTTGCAACATGTTGTCACCTCTTTACCTCCCGGTCCTAACTTTACCACCGCTTCCTCTTTCACCTCGTCTCCAACTTCTACTCCGACCTCTGCCTTCCCTGCTCCCGATACGCCGAATGCTTTCACTCCTGCTAGTACTCCCTTACAACCCGCTAGCGAAGGACTACGTGGTCGAGTGAATGGTTTATCACTGCCTACGCCAGGACCTCTCGAACTTGGCGAGTCTATGATGGCCATTCCTGGCAACGCATCCAGCTTCAATGACCCATCTACATCTACTTCCAAGGCCCCGGGTCTTATGCGGCGAATTTCCCGAGGCGCCGCCAACAAGCTTACCCGTAGAAGACAATCTACAACTCAGAATGATAAACGGGACCGAAGCTCTGGTCCTGTGATCATGCGCCGACGCAGCGACAGCAAGACCGGCCCCCAACCTGTCCGAGACAGCGCCCTTGACTCAAGCAATGAGGACGAGAGCGAGGCGTTCGATAACCTTGGCGCATGGGGTGGCTCCGAAGCATCCAGCCTTCGTAGTGAGAGCCGCATGAGTATGGCTCGCGAGGTTGGCCCCGCTGCTGCTGTTGCCGTCGCACCCAAGGTCGACTCGGCCGTTCAGCGAGGCACCGTCTTGACCAAGGTTACCAAGAAACACAGAAAGCAAGTACGCTTCTTCCTCGACCTGGATGCCGCCAAGGTTTTCTGGGATGTCTCCAACCCGCAAAAACGCTTCTATATCGATGATATCAAGGAGATCCGGGTTGGCGCCGACGCCCGTAATTACCGTGAAGAACATCAAATCCCGGAAGACTTGGAGCGCCGGTGGTTCACTATTGTGATTGCGGACTCTGACCGCTCCAAGGGCCGAGCGGTCAAGACTTTGCATCTCATCGCTCCTAGTGACCGTATCCTTGAGCTGTGGATTACCACACTTGAGCATATCTCTCGGTACAGAATTGGTCTGATGGCCGGCCTGGCCGGGTCTGGCCAGAGCGAGGCTGTTCTTCAAGCTCATTGGCAGCGCGAGATGTCGAGACTGTTCCCACAGGGACCGCGCTGTGGTGAGGAAGAAACCCTCGACTTGGCCGCCGTTGAGAAGGTCTGCCGCAGCTTGCATATCAACTGCTCCAAGAACATGCTCCGGGCGCAGTTCAACAAGGCCGATGCTGCGAACAGTGGCAAGCTGAACTTCTCCCAGTTCAAGGACTTCCTTATGCGCCTGAAGGAGCGGAAGGATGTCAAAGAGATCTTCAAACATCACACGGAAAACTCAAAAGAAGGCATGACTCAAGATGAATTCCTCACTTTCCTGCGTGATGTGCAAAACGAAGATATCGATGCCGACCGCGCTCACTGGGCAGCGCTTTTCGACAAGACTGTTCGGCGATCGTCCAAGTCCCGGACTCCTTCTTCGGAAGGCTCGGAACTCATTCCTCCTGTGTCGCGTATGAACTTGGATTCGTTCTCTGCGTTCCTGGCTTCGTCCAGCAACGGTGTGTACGCGTCACGTGCTCCTCAGTCAAGGTTCGACCGGCCATTGAACGAGTACTTCATCTCGAGCTCTCACAACACTTATCTTCTTGGTCGCCAGGTGGCTGGTGCTTCGAGCACTGAGGCTTATGTTAGTGCCCTTCAACAGGGATGTCGTTGTGTAGAGATCGACTGCTGGGATGGCGCGGATGGACGCCCAATTGTCTCTCACGGACGAACCCTGACTACCAGTGTCTTGTTTGCGGATTGCATCACTGTCATCAACCGATACGCCTTCATCAGCTGCGACTTCCCCCTTATCCTTTCTCTCGAGGTGCACTGCAATCCCGAACAGCAGCTGGCAATGGTCAAGATCATGAAGGACACATTCAAGGAGCAACTCGTACTCGAGCCTCTGATGACGAACTGCTTCATTCTTCCATCGCCCGAGGAACTCAAGGGTCGCATTCTGGTCAAAGTCAAGACCTGTGATGAGACTGAGTTCGATCCCCGCCAAGACACTGTCAGCTCCGTCAACACCCATGGTCGCAAGCGCAGTGCCAGTACACCATTCGTGCGACCGACGCTTGGGGATATCTCCTCTAACACTCCTCTTCCCTCGCTCTCCAGCCCACCGACCATCGGACCCGTCGACAGCATTGGTCCATTGATGTCCCAGGATAGACGCTCCCTTACTGCTACCAGCATGAGCAGTGCGACCGAAGACAGCGACGGAGCCCTTGTATCAGTTCGCAACGAGAAGAAGAAGCGCCGTCGCCAGAAGAGCAAGATCACAAAGCCTCTGTCAGATTTGGGTGTGTACACTCGCGGGTACAAGTGGCACAGCTTCTCGTCTCCGGAGAGCAGACGCTACAACCACATCTACTCGTTCGCCGAACGTCCCTTTGAGAGCATCACCCAAAACCACGACAACAAAGTTGCGCTGGAAGCACACAACCGCAAGTACCTCACACGAGTGTATCCGTCCGGTTTCCGACTCCGTTCCTCCAACTTTGATCCGAACAAATTCTGGCGTCGTGGTGTGCAGATGGCGGCTCTGAACTGGCAGACCTACGACATTGGCATGCAAATGAACCAGGCCATGTTCGCTGCTGGTACTGATCGCACCGGTTACATCCTCAAGCCCGAAAGCCTCCGCCTCCCGGCCGTCGAAGATGGAACCAAGAAGCGCAAGACGGAGCGCAAGCTGGTCCGCTTCTCGATCGATGTCATCTCCGCTCAACAGCTCCCCCGCCCGCGCACCATTGGCCAAGACGACAACATCAATCCCTACGTTGAGATTGAGATGTTCAGCGCTGATGACCGTGGCCAGAGCTTTGTCCTCGGTGAAGGCGGCATGGATGCTTCCGCACGCAACGGCATGTCGGGTATTGGCTACCCGCACCGTCGCCGCACAAAGATCGAACAGAGCAATGGATACAGCCCGGTATTCAACGACAAGTTCAAGCTGTCGCTGGAAACCAAGTACCCCGATCTCGTGTTTGTGCGATGGACCGTCTGGAGCTCGACCGATGGCCGCAGCGCGGGCAATAACAACAGCGTGCAGCTGGCCACATTCACAGCCAAGTTGACCAGTCTGTCTCAAGGCTATCGCTACCTCCCTCTCTACGACGGCAGCGGCGACCAGTACCTCTTCTCGACTCTCTTCTGCAAGATCTCCAAGGAGGATCCCATTCCCGTCCAACGCCTGGATCTCGAAGAACTTCGCGCTGAACGCATGGGCATCCTACGCCAGATTGGTCAGACTGTCTTCAAGCGTTCTTCGTCTACCGAACGTGACAAGGATCAATCTCAGGATCGCAGTGATCCTGTCAGTCCGGAGGACAAGGAAAGTTCTCCGAACTTGACACCGACAGTGTCTACTACCTCGACTTCATCATTTGTTCAATGAGTCACATCCCTCTCCATCAACTATCTATGCGGAACCGTGTTCCCCTCGCATCAACCCAGTGTTCCGGCGTTTTTCTTTGCATCATATCCTATTCTTCCCATGTGAGCCTGCTCTCACATTGTTTGGAAGTTCTGTTTCTTGCGCCATTGCCATTTCCATTGCTTCAACGTCAGCGATACCCCTCAAGTTACTTCAATCTGTTTAACCATGTATACCTCGGATAGCCATTGTTTCCCCCTCTGTACCGGCCCTGGAGACCGAAACCATGTATTGAAACTGGGAGAGGTGTTCCTGTTCTGTTCTATTCTATTTACTTCGTTCCTGTTTTCTTTTTCTTGTGATATATCCTTGGCTAAGGATGACCATGTGTATTCCACCCTTTCATCCCATTACTTTCTTCCATTATCCTCCTTCCTTTTGTTTTCCCTGTGTCTATTCTATTTCTGTTCCATTTGTACTCAGGTCCGCATGAGGTCTATCGGGGTTCCATCTTTTCGGTTTCGGCGGTCTCAGCCTCATCATTACCATCATCATCATCATCATTTTGCATCTGAGGAGTCAATCGCATCACACGGGAGAAGACGTGCGTGGCTGGATCACCGAAGTGACCTATCTTCTCTCTGTTTCTCGCTTTCACTCTCATCTCCATCGTCTCTCCAATTTCATTTCATTGGAACATCATAGCATGAGGATTCGGGATTATGTTTCCAGGGCGCTCTACAATTTGACTGGATCATCACAGTATTCAATTTCTCCCTTTGCATACCATACTATCCCGATAATGAATCTGGTATCTGGTATCCGGATCATTTCAATGTCCTTCCCAATTATCAACTGGATGGATAAGATGATGGCTTTCGTTTATATTGTTTTGCTTTGCAAAGCCGGTCTTTTCCTGTATCAACTACTATTCCCATCCTTGTTCATTTGTTCATGGTTGCTTCCCTGGTGGTTGCTTGATCGTGGTGTCTTTCACACTTGGATGGGATATGTTTTGCCTTTGTTGTCTTGCGATCTACTATATATATTCCCCTGTTTTATTAGATAGTACGCTGGGAGCACATTCTTTCTTTTGGAAATTGGATTTCTTTTATACTACCATACCATTATTGGTTATCATGTCTTACTACTATTAGTGAATGTATATAATATCTAGTGGTATACTATATCCTATCTACAAGCCGTCGATAGATGAATATAAAACAAGAAGTCTTGCTGTGAAGGTGTAATCAGAGGCCCTCTCGAGCCTCATAGTCATTTCATCATATTCCAATCCCAGAAGAGAAGGGGTCATTAATATACACAAATCGAGCTCACGGTAAAACCGGAGTAAACGAAGTAAAAGATAAATAGAAGCTAAAAGCCCGCCAAAGATAAAGCAAAACCGATCAACCCTTCAAAGAAGAAGCCCTAACCTTCTGATCCCCCTTCAAGTCCCCATCCCTCTCACCACCCATCCCCATGCCCTCCAAATCCTCGAGATCCCGTCCATAATCAACATAAAGCCCCGCAACCTCATCGACATCAACCTCATTCCAAGTGTCACTAGTTTCAGCCACAGGCCAAAACCAAGTAAGAGCAACATAAACAATCCCAGAAACGATAACGCCCGAGAAATAATTCACGTTATAGATATACTGCGCGCCAACAGGTACATTCCGTCCCACGGCACCAGCAAAGCCAACAATATTGACCATGATGCCGCTCAGGTAGGCTGCGTACGCGCGCCAGCTGAAACCGTAGCTGTAGTAGTAGGCATCGGAGGTGCGGGCGCTGTACAGGGCTTTGATGTTTAGGTAGCCTTTGCGGACGATGTAGTAGTCGGTGATCATTACGCCTGCGATTGCGGAGAGGAAGAGAGAGTAGGCTGATAGGTAGGTTGTAAAGTTGTTGGAGGTTGAGACTAAGTTCCACTGTTTTTTTTTTTTTTTTTTTGTTAGATTTGATGTAAAAGGAGATGGGATGGAGATGGGGGGAGACTAACTGGACACATGGCCAGGCCGACAGCAGCACAGATATAACTTCCCCGACGGATATTCAAGTACCGAGGCAGGAGAGCAGTCAGATCCGTTCCAGCGGAGACAGAGTTAGCCGAGATATTCGTTCCTAGCTGAGCGAGGGCGAATCCAGTAGCGATGATGAAGATACCGAAGCGCTGACCGGAACTCGCGCCGTCGAGGAATTTGCCAAGGAGATCGAGTGGGTTCCAGGTATACCCATCATTAAAGATAACAGAAGAAGAAGAAGAGACGATAATTCCGATGAAAGATGTCACGCCAAAACCAATGGGGATAGTGAAAAGCTGAGACCAGAGCGCATCCTTGGGTGTTCGAGCAAAACGCGAGAAATCAGGATCGTTCATGATCAGCGCGGCGAAGTTACCGATGCATGACATTATTCCTTTAACCATTACCCAGCGGAACTCAGTGCCGTGGACGGTGTTGGGCTGGTGGATGATCGGGCCGAGGCCGTTGGCCCGGGAGATTGCCCATGCAAAGAAGGCGATTGCCGCGATGGGGGAGTAGATCGCCTTGACGGTGAAGAGGTGGCGGACTTTATGGACTGGGAACCATAGGGCTGGGAGGGAGAGCAGCCAGAAGAGGAAGAAACTGAGGAAGTTCTTTGTGTCGACGCCTGCGCTGGCTGAGAGGCCGTTGTGGAGGTTTCGGTAGCTGGGCCAGATTGCTTCGATCATTAAGGTGACGCATTGGCCTGGTGACGGGGTTAGATGGGGGATTTATTTGCAAACCAAGTTTGGGGATACATACCTCCGATATAACTTTGTACTCCGTACCAGATGATTGCCATGACCACGCGGTTCAGGACGGGCCAGAAAGAACCCCAGATTCCGAATGAGGCGCGGGCAGTGACTGGGAATGAAATGTGATAGACGGCACCGATGCGACCTGTTAGACAGACAAATGCTGCCGCCACGAGGTATCCGACCCAGACGCAGATCCAGGACTGCCACCAGGAGAGACCGTCGACGATCATAGAGGAAGAAATCATCCATGTGTTCTGGTTTGGTTAGGTGTCGTTCGATTCTGGGCTGTTCAGGTACTGACGATGTTCAATGAATCCGCAATCCAGAAAGCGATATAGTTCAGCCACGTCCATTGGCGGCGCTCCGGGTCCACTGGGGAAAGTCAGTCACTACCTTGGTACAATCTGGGGTGAGTTATAGGTACCTGGCCGGAGATCACTGTTGGTCAACATTAACTGAGCATTGCTCAAGCCAGGTTCGTTTTCGACCTCAAGCTTCTTGAGGATCCATTTTAACTTGGACATGGTGAAGTATAGGAAGGGGTGTAGTATAGATGGAATGGGAAGTGAACCAAGGGGACAGGAACACCTTTATGATGTTTTCTATCCCACATTTCGTTCGCACCCCTGTTCCGAGTAACCATGATAAGAAAGTCCATGGGATGATCTTCCATGTGTGTTCCCCAGTATGTACAGTGGCGGCTTAGAGGGATCGTGCCCCTATGACCGAACGGCTCGAGTCACGGCTTATCTATGGGCGTCGGAGAGTGGGGCTATTTGTCCCGATTAGCTGGTGTGATTGGCCACTTCCTCTATCTAATCTGGAGAAAAGCTGGAGATAGACAATTGTCAAGTCAAGTTGACTCGATCAGATCGAGTAATTCCGTACACGTGAGAGTTGACGCCTTAGGCTTATCATTATATTCAGCCTGAGGCTATAGCGGAGGCCTGAGGCACCCTATATACTTGATGGACAGATCCTAGACTACGAACATGTAACGATATTATCTAGGTTTATATGACATGCCAAAGAGATCAATAAAACGGTCAAATAGATATCTGAAAAGAGACTGAAAATGACATGTAGAACGACTTCAGTATCTGCAACCTTAAACCGCTAACGTCTACATTACTGCATATCAGCTGACACACCCGTTTCATCTCCACACCTGTTCATCTCCGCCCGTTCTACTCCCTACTTTTGAGGTATCCCCGACAGCAAATAACGATGGGGACCGAGAAGAGCGAAAGCACGGCATCAGCCAAGTCAGCCAATCGGCATCGTCTTCGTCTTCCCAGCGGAGCGACTCGTCAAAGACGGACTGACCAGAGCAACCATTCCTGGCGACAAAATGCAGGCTTCTGCACCCAACAATGTGTACTCGGGCTAAACAGAGAAGGGTTTTCCTAAATGAGGATAGTCCAAGCGTCCACATCCACTGCAAGGGACAAAATTCCAAACACCCTATCGACGCAGAGTGTATGATCTCACTAAAAGCACAATTGGACGACAACATCGACCGATGTATACCGTTTAGAAGATGCGGGTCATACGGAGCCACGTTCAAACCCACGGGCCCTCCATGCGGCTTTACAGTCGTCGGAAAAGGAACCACAACAGGATTATAGAAAGAAGTCTCCCTCGAAGCCTACAAAGTCTTAAGAAAAAGCCCGAGGCTCCACTGTACCAGTATCCTTCGCAAGTATTAGACTTGGCCATGATCTACTTCCTTCATGGTGCTAGTTCGATATCTCATATGCTTGCTATGGGCTGGGCAGGTGAAAGCACAGCATCTATGGAGCTGGACCCGGGGCTTCTCAAGAAAATGACCAACCCTGATTCGGAGATTCAAGTATTTGGGGCTAACCACTACCTTAGACATGAGAATTCCCTTTAAAACAAGATGCTTAGACGACCTTTGATTATTGACTTCCATCGCTCTGTTTTGAAAGCTTGGTCTATGAAGCGATCACGAGCTAAGAAGAGATCAAGGCGTCCGCAAAGTCTGGGGATGTCAAGCGTCTACGCATATAAGAGATACCGTGTGCATTTTGTCTTCCATTAGCGGTTGCATCATATGACGAATTACGATACCAACCCTACGTCTTTGCATATTTGCAAGTAAGGAATCCATAATTGGAGACTATCCCGGATGACATTGCTGAATGCTTCACTACATCACTTGCGCGTGAGACATTCATTACCCATTATTACATATCTACTTCCTTTCTAGTCACTCAATACAATGGAGTCCGTGTTGGAGTTACGCAAAGGAAATATATTGAAGGTGAAGGCTTTTGCCAGGATGAACACGTCTCCAATTCGATCGATCATGTTTCATCTAATTCAGGAGCACAATAAATCAAATGAACACCTCGCAGGATACCGACGGCGCGCTTAGTGGATGCCGTTATAGCAGTTCTTCTCTAGGCTGAACAACCATCCGCCAATGGTCTCGCCTTTTCTGTACAATATATCGTACACGATGGGGTCTCATCTTTACCGGCGAAGAGCATCTCTGATAGGAGAGTCACCACGGCGGAAGGAGGCTGGATACCAGTTAGTTCAGGTGTACTCACACGAGTGATGACGGAAATCGGAGGAAAGCTCGGCGGAAAGCAGATAGCCGGCCATGGGCGAGCTTGCAAGCTCCATGGTGCGGAAATAGACTAGCTAGAGCCTGCTCAAGCTCTAGATAGTATATCTCACAGCATGCAGTAGCACCCGCTTTAACCAAGAGCTTCCCAAGGGTTGAACACTCAATGAACATCAATATAAACATACCATCAGCCTCTTCCCAAGCACGACCGGCACCAAAGCCGAGACCAATCCATGCGGGCCAAGCTCTGCGCTTGAACAGGAGAACGGAGAAGACGACACCGAAAGACAGACCGAGGGAGGACTTGATGATCACGGAGGAGATGGCGCGGTCCCACTAAACATTCCACGCAGATTAGCTAACGACTCCCGGTTTATGCTTCCAAAGAGATCAATTGTCGCAGATATTGTGCAGAGTATCATCTGTAACGATTTCGTCCATTCGGAACCCCAAGCTAGCTCGTACCTTCTCGTTAAGCAGAGCCTCGCTGACGGGCTTGGTGGCCCGCGCGATGGTGCCGGGCTGGTTGGAATCGGCCATTGCGATAAATCTGGCAAAAGAGTCAGCAGAAACTCAATCGGGCGAATGTCCGAAGACTAACGAACCACTTGCAATGATGTGGAATTGAAGAGGTGAATAAAGACGTTAGTGCAAGGAGTTGGGAGTTTGAACGGAGCGAGTCGCTCGGGCAAAGGCGGTCGGGGCAATCCGCGGTTTTTCTTTTTGGGTATCTTTTTTTTCTTCCTCGACAAATAAACCACCACTCACTCGATTATTTATTGCTTTTTTTCGCGATGCCGTTGCTTGCGGAGGTAAGTCTTTGTGAATATGTGTTTGTATCTCCAGTCTAATGTCTTGGGTTCAGCGTCCGCGCTCATCGCAAGAGGCGCTCCTCCGCCTCGAAAAAGGCACTGCCTCTCCGACTACCCAACTCCACGAAGCGGCGCAGATTCTCGGGTTAGATTTGACGCTGTGTGAAAGTCATCCGGAAGTTCACCGAGATGTTCGAATTCAAACAAACGCAACCCCGAAGGAAGAATGGGTTCTACGATGGTTGTTGAAGAGACTGAGAAGTGGGAAGAACTACAGAGTGGACGCAGCTTCGTTCCTGCTACTACGACAATTGATCGACTTGATCTCGCCAAAGAACCTCGCTGCTATTTTAAAGGACCAGAAACTTTTGTCGATTCTATTCGAGACGATTGCAGATTTGGAGGCCGATATTTTCGCCGGCCTAGGGAATGGGATTGCGGCCCTGAGTTCGGACTCCGACTCCAGTCAAACACCGGCTGGTTCCCCGACCCACGACGATCACCGGGGGAGTCAAGGGAAAAAGAGAAAGAGAATGACAACCGAGAATGGAGACGCGATGGACGTGGACGGGGACGAACATCGGCAGAACCCCGCAGCATGCTTCCTCACCTTCATTCGCGCTTTGGATTGTCTGTATGGGATCGTAACACTTACACGCCGCACACTGAGCACTGATGGAGTGGCAAACTCGCATCTGAAGCTTGCGCTGAGGGGCGAGCCAGAGGCAGTTGCTATGCTGCTGGGTCGATCATTCCGAGTGGCTGCTGTCGCTGCCAAGCAGTTTTCGCATGCGGGGAAGACGACCGATCTTCAGCACTTGCTGTACGTGTTTCCCGCGGCAGTGGAGCTGTGGGAATCGCGGTCTTACCGTCAAGATGACACGGACAACAAATCCAGCAATGAATTCTTTGCGAGACACTGCTTTGCTCATGCTCTCAGGCTCCAAATCTGCCTGCGGTCCGCCAAGCTTGATACTGATGAGTGCGCTCATCTTCTTCACGCTATCGAGCGTATTATTGCCTTGCATGTTTTGCTCCCGGCACGTGCAGCATTCTTTGAACGTGGAGGCTCTGGTATCGACTATTCCAAGGATGAGCCGGACTGGAGTCCAGTCAAGCCGGTTACCGATACTTTCAAACCGATCATTCGCGAATTTCCCGTAGCGAAAGAAGACAAATCCACAAGTGAACCCTGCGGCAACCCCTGGCGATCAGTTGAGCTTCTTCCGGAACTGTTCGACAATGCCGTCCGTGCTGTCCCCCGTGATGTGTTCCGACGACAGACACACGAAGCTCCTTGGCTTGAGACTTTGTTCGTTGCTGTTGCAGAGCTGGCCTTCTCTACCGCGAAGGAAGAGGACTTCGCTACATTTGACTCCAAATTCGTTGCGGTGTTAGAGCAGCTTCTCCAAGTAGCTCTCGATCGGAACGTCGGCCTATCTCTACACACCATTCTTGCGCATGCCAACTACACTGGTCTCTATGAAGAAGGTCTCAAAAAGGTCCAGTGGAATGTGACAGCTTTGTTCATCAGCTTGGGTGTTGATGTTTTCCTACCCAACTCCGGTTTACGCGATTCTCGCAAGCTTCTCGATGCATTGCTCGCCAAGATTCAATTGCAATGGCGTGAAAATGGCACCGGGAAACCCCAGGTTTACAACACCATCAAGACTAATGTCGTGCTTCCACTTCTGCGAGGGTTCGCCGCGGCAAGAGATCTGCCAAATTTTATGGAAGTGTGGCACAATCAACTTGTTGCCGTGGAAGAGGCTCGCCAGGACAACAGTAATCTGAGTTTATTCTCAGTCTGGGAAGACGATGATTTGTCTGACGCTTACGCTGAGCTAATGCGAACTTCTCTCACCGAGTCGCACGTCGCTGCTCAGATGCGTACCGCCGCTAGCGAGACTAAGGCCGATAATGGAAAGATTGCGGAGACTCCTCAGTCCTATGCTAAGTTCGTTATTGTCGAGGCAAGCTTCCGGGGTCGTGTTTCACCATTCCCAGAATCGGACAAGATCTTGACATCCCTCCTTGAGACTGTGACATCGACTTTGTCCTCGAAGCAAGCTCTTCACTGGCGATGGCGTTTGTGGCGGTTGGTTCGGAACCTTTTTGACAACACTCTGCAGTCAGCCAACCATGTTCTGGCAAAGTCCGTGATGGAACTGCTGCAAGTCGCTGCAAAGGTCGTTCATCGCAACCACAAAGACCTGGCCAAAAAGCCTCTCGCTTCGCTCGAGTCTTGGGAAGCTTACCGGTTTGTTCTGGATGCGATCAAGGCACACGCCAATGAGGAGCAGCGAAACTCGTTTACCACGGCCACAAAGGATGTCACAGATCTTATCATCTCCATCTCTCCTGATGATGCCAAAAAGTCGATGAAGGCGCCCTGGAATGGTCAGACTGATACAGTGGAATCCCAAACCACTCTCGGCCTCGCTTACTTCCTGGCCCTCGTCAGAGTTCCAGAAGTCTGGAGCCATATCGCTTCTGAAGAGCGATCGCGTCTATTCCGACACATTCTGTCTCTGGCCGCTGCTCAGTACCGTTCTTCTTCGTTGCCTCTCGAGGCTATTTCCGAAGAAGCAAGATTCCTCCAAGCATGGGCGAGCGTGGTTTGCCACGAATATCTGCTCAACGCCCCTCTGATTGTATCTGATCTCTCCCTTCTCTTGAATGAGAGTATCGAACAAGACTCATCTAACCGCCGAATCCTGGTCGAGAGTTTGCAAAGAATCCCGGCCGCACTGATCACCCGTGGGCTGCGGACCACAATCCTGAACAAACTGCATGATGTTGTGCTTCAGCAGGACAGCTCTCCCGACGTTATGGTTGGCATTCTCACTATGATGGCCAAACTGGCAGCTATGCCCAAATGTGATGCCACACTGACCAGCGATTGGGAGCCAATCTGGACCGCAGCTCGTGCAGTCTCACTGGAGGGCACAGACACCGATCTTCAGATCATGAAAGCATTCCGAAGCCTGTACCGCGCTATTCTGGCCAAACTCTTGGTCCTGTCTGAGAATGATCGGAACAAGCTTTTCAAGAAGCTCTTCGCCAGAGTATCAAAGCAAACCTCGAAAATGAGGCAGGTCGATCGCGACTCCATGGCCTGCTTCCTCTTGCGGTTGTCTCTGTCTGAACTTTGGGTCCACCGCAAGAAATTGCAGACAGCCTTCTCGGAGACGGAATTGGCTGCACTTCGTCAACGGGTGTTTGACCTGGTGTTGGCTGACATGAAATACGTCAAAGACCAGTGCAGGAAGCAGAAGCTGGAAGAGACCATCACTCTCATCAAAACCATTGATGCACTGGAAGACTTCGAGGATCTAGCTACCAACAACATTGAGGTCGAGAAGTTCTTGTCCAAGATCGAAAACTACATGGAAATGTCCATTGATTCAGGGCCGTCCCGTTTGATTCGACGCCGCCTTCTCGCCAGCAAAGGACCTGAGAAGAACATCGCTCAACCAGTCCTTCAATGCGCCGAGACTCTAACCCTCCAGTCTCTCTACGCCGAGGACCAGCAGCTTTTCATCCGAGTCACAACCGAACGGTTCCGCTCTATGCCCATGGAGAAAATCGCCCAGGCAATCTGCGAAGTAAGAGGACTTGGCTTGATTGGTCAGGACGCAGGATACAGACTCCTAGTGATCTATCTCGCCATAGCCTCGATCCCTCCCGTAGAGGATAAAGAGAGCGCCACAGCCAGAGAACTATCCCTCCTCTGCACAGCCCTCGCCGAAGCCATCCCACAGAGCACAAGCATCGACCAATTTTGTTTCGCATCCGAATGCCTGGACCTCCTCCTCCGCACCCACACCCGCAGTCTATCACAATGCAACATCGACGCCATCCTCGCCGCCATCGCCAGCGCCTCCTCCAAGATCGGACCCCAGATCTCCTCTGAATACTCCCCAACAATCTACACCCGCCTCTGCCGACTGATGGGCGTTGTCCTAAGCCTCCAACGCCTAAAGATCGGCGGCCGCTTCCACCTCGTCGTAAACGCCATGCAACGCCTCCTAGGCTGCCTCTTCGCACGCTCCCGCAAGCGCGGCCGCTCAGCTCGCTCCCAAACAACCCTCTCGCAGCCCTTCTGGCTCGCTCCCCTGGAAGCCTCGCACGCAACATACTATACGCGACTCCTCACCTCGCTCTGCGACCCAACGGTGTCGTCCGTGTTACGTCCGCAGCCAGGTGCATCCCGCGAAGCCCTCACGGACCAAACGAAGAAAGCAAAGCGCATTGCCGGGCAGTACCTGCAGTACGTCATCATGGAGTATGCGCAGTGTTCTTTGCGGGGATCGTTGTCGCCGGAAGTTAAGGCTGCCATTATGCCTGGACTGTATTCTGCTTTGGATGTTATGTCGCGGGAGTCTATGCGGGCTCTTAATGCTGCGCTGGATGTCTCTGGTCGGGCTGTGTTCAAGTCGCTTTATGATGACTATGTTAAGTTCGGCAAGTGGAATAAGGCTTGATTTTTTTGGTTGGGAACACTGTCTTTTATGTATACTATTCTATATTTTGTTTAAGAATTATGATATCCCCAATGCATTGATGATCATACAGAATTGGTGCTAGAGATGTAGTGTAGATATCCGTATTAAGATAGGGGATAGAGGGCCATTAGCGCCCAACTAGGTTCAATTGCCTACTCTGTCTGATTGGTGTGTTGGAAGGAAAGAAACCAAGAACAAAATTGTCAGAGTGGGGAAATGACCCGATAATTCCATTCAAACAAGCAATCAAATAGTAGCCGTCTAGGGTAAAATCTAGATAGGGTATCAAGGGAAATCATAAATCATACGGGGTCAAAGTAGGTTAGAGCGGAAAAGAGAAGGGAGAAGAGAACATCTAGATCATCGAAGTCTCCATGGTGCGCGGGCTCAAGCATGGCACAGTCAGATTGTCCAGCACGGGGATTCGTGAAGTCGGAGTAGCAGAACTTGTATGTGGAACATGAGGAGGACCTTGCTGTTGCTCTGATTTTTCCGGGAACGGGTCTTCGGGAATCGGCGTATCCAGAGAGAAGCCGTTGTGGCCGCTATGTGTAAGACAGCCCACGCAACTGCAGTCACTTCCACATTGACAGCTCCCTGTCACGTCGGAGCAAGCGCTTGGTAATCCGACTGGGTATTCCAGAGTGTAGTACTCCGAAGGGTGCATCAATTGATGATTTAAGCTGGGATCAGCCAGAGGGGAGGAGTAGCCGCTGGGCATGGCAGAGTTAGGATCTGAATATCCATCGAACGGGTTGTGCTGGAACGCATGGTCTATGGACGGGGTGCCCTGCATGTAATAGTTGAATGGAACTGGAGGTGTAGACCCCTGGAATGGCGAGGATTGATAAGGGTTGATGGATTCTGGGGTTTTGTCGTCGCCGTTGAAGGTAATCATGGCACCCATCTCTTGAACGTGCTTTCGTGTTGTAGTGTTGAATGGGTGAGCAGCACAACCCAGACACTGACAGTCCTCTCCACAGCGGCAGTCGTGACAAGGGTCATCACTTGCTGCTGCTTGCATGGGGTAAGGTGAATGAGAGTGGTTGAGCATGTAGGGACCCATGGGTGGTTGCGAGATTCCCAAACCGTTCATTGGGTTGTTGTATCCCATCGACGGCTGTGTGGCCACATTGAGTGGGTATCCACCGTTCGAATTTGACGGCTGAGTGTTTGGCGGAGGCATTGCGTTCTGCGAGAACCCATTTTGGAAGATTGGTGCTTGGGAAGGTGGTTGACTCATGGCGGACATGTAGTTCCCATGAGTAGACATCGTCTGGTTCCCCCATGAGGTCATTTCTGGCATGCTGAACGGCATGTACATTTGAATTTGACTATCCCAAGTAGCAGGTTGCTGGGATTGGTGCTTTTCCACATTTGAGTGCTGAGGTTCGGTGGCGGAAGGGCGGGACCCGCAGCAAGACCCTCCATTCTGAGCCGGAGCCGCAGCTGGGGCTGGGGCTGGTGCTGTGGCTGTAGTAGGCGCCTGGGGCTTTGTCGAACAACAGCTAGACACTGGAGGGGACTGTGATGCTTCCCTCGAAGACTCTTTGGGTGATATCGCCGTGTGGTTTTGCGTGGCAGAAGGTCTGTATGAATCTAGCCCAGATTGGGAGAAGTTTGGGAAGTGGTTTGGCGTTCCATCCTCAATCTTGAGATTGTCTGGCATATTTTCCAATGCCCTTGCAATATTTTCAGGTGCTGCTTGCATGGTACTTTGTCTTCTTCCAGACTTTTGAACCTTGCCCGGGGCCGGAGAAGATGTGGAAGCCAGGGTAGGTGGGGACTGAGTTGATTCATTGCCTTCCATAGGAACTTTATACAATGGCCGGCATAGACAGGATGAGCCTGGTGCGGTTAGTACAAGGAGACAAAGGGTATGTAACAAAGATGTCTACCTTTAGGTATCCGGACCATCACGGCATATGTCTTCTGGCAACTACAAGTTCCTTTTGGATGGGGACATTTTGCTAGAGGTCGCCCAGCTTTGGGGACCTTCATCATGAGTCTATCAAAGTGTTGGCATTTCGACGATCGGTGACCTCGAATGCATGGTTCGCTGGTATGACACTTTAGCCTAGCTCTATTCACAATCGAGACGGGATATATTCTTACCAGGACCACTTGGCGCCTTCTTCATCGAGAGGCATACTTGCGACAAGATGTTGGGACCAGGATATTGACCAACGTTGTCAGACGAAGTGATTCGTAATGTCGCAAACGCAGTGGGCAGGCTTAGCGCGTAATCGATACCCCGCGCATGCGATCGCCGTTCTCACCAAAACTGTCAGACCCGCACTTTGCGACGAAATTAAGCCATGTGTCAAAGTGTATGTCAAAATTCTCGAGGGAAGGTCGTATGAGGGAAAAGGTGGAGTCGAGAGCGGAGTGGATATGAGCGTTGCGGAAAAGACCAGGGATACACCATGCGATATCAGAGACAAGACCGAGCAGAGGTAACGAGTCCTCGAGTCCTCGAGTCTGATCTGAGTCTGAGTCTGTATAGATCGCGAAAGGAAAGAAGAAAGAAAAGGTGCGGGGAGACTCGGGGCCTGTTTACGTAATCCTTCCTATTCGGGATCCTGAATTGTTTCGATGACGACCTCGGAGCTTTGTCTCGTCAACTAACCGTCGCAATGCCCCCCAAAGGCCAGGAAGGTGACAGCAGTGCTAGCACCGACAGCAACTCCAATTCCTTCTTTACGGTCCCGGCACCTATCAAGCGCCTCTTCGACAAGTTCCCGTTGACCACCTATCCCGCCAACGAGCTCCCTCAACGCTTTCAGCCGAACACTGCCAACCAGCTGTTCGTTTTCACCGACGCGCGCGGTGCACGACATGGCCGACCTTCCTTCAACCCCCAATGTCTCAAATGGCAGGTTCGTGGCCCAGATGCAAGGGCGCATGGCCGTCGGAAACCATGCTAATGGATGCTCTAGGCCTACCTGAAATTCGTCGGAATCGACTTCGACATCACCGCGTCCAACAACCATGCATCACCCACTGGCGCCCTTCCATTCCTCCTCCCTGCACTTCCGGCAGACACATTGAACCCAATTCCATCACACAAGCTCCAGAAGTGGGCCATTGAACAAGTTCACTGCGAGGAGGAACAGCAACTGAACCTCCGGTTTGAGGTGTATGCCTCGCTGCTGGACCACCGGATACGCCATGCCTGGGTAGGATCGACTTCAAACTCGAAATCAGGACCGACTAACGTATCTAGTTATACATGCTCTACTTGGACAGCGAGAACTTCGACGCCGTCGCCCGCCGACTTTACGTGGAACCCGCAACAACCAACACCGTCGTGCGCGCCGCTCTAAGCCACCAGCTCCAGCAGGCCGCCCGCGACGAGCTCCTCAAAAACTCACGATACATCGACGCCGCCGACCTGGAAGGCGATGCGGGTGGCGCATTCGAGGCGTTATCCACACTACTCGGGGAGGACGAGCACTTCTTCAGCCGACCAAACCCAGGTCTCTTCGATGCCAGCGTTTTCGCATACACGCATCTGATCCTGGACGACACGCTAGGCTGGAAAAAGAACCGGCTGGCACAGCTGCTCAGGGAACATCCCAACCTTGTACAACACCGCGACAGACTACTCAAATTCTTCTAAATGTACCACTACCAGCGACTTGTGAATTCGACGGGATTTTTATTCGAATAATATCCTATTGACCTCCGTCTTATTCGTATCCATTCACGCTGTTTCACTTCTTGCTAAAACAAACCCCAACCCATTTCTTAGCCCTCGCACCCAGCACCTCCCCCAACGCCTCATCAACACCTCTAACCAAAACCCCATCCTGATTACAGCCAACAACATGTTCAAGCTTGAACCCCTCCTCCGCAGCCATAGCCACTACATCCCCAATCTGGTGACAATAACTCGTAGGTTGAATCTTAATCCGAGTCGCCGGATCCGTGAAACCCGCCTGACTGCGCATCCCCATATCAGCATGCATATTAGTAACCAAGAGATATGCACCAGCTCTCATAATTGCCGATGCGGCAGTGAAGAATTGCTGAAGTGGGATATGTTCCGGTACAAGTGTAGATATGACACCCACTGCCCCGGCTGTAGGCTCACGCAAAGAAGCAGGTAACTGCTCCATGGTAGGACATAGAAGATCAAAAATTCCCAACGACACGGCCGGACTTGGATTCTCTGTCCCGATATGCTTTTGAATGGTGGTGCGTGCGACATCCAACATACCGGGTGAAGCATCTAAACCGACGATTTCGAAATGGTCTGCCCCTGCATTTGATTATAAAGCGTCTACCAATGGAATTGTATTCCTGCCAGTTCCACAGCCGAGATCTACGAGGGTTGCTCGAGATGTTCCGGCGGTTGCTGGGACTCGGAAGCGAGCACTGACACGATCGAGGAATTGGGGAAGCAGAGCTCGCATTTCAATCGTATTTTTTCAAGTCGTTGCAGGAAATTCCCATCCGTGTCGTAGACCAAAATATAATTTAGGTATTAGCATTTAATCCTCAAAACGTAAAGCAGATGTTCAGAGCATATAGCATCTAAATATATATACACACCTTCGCCCACTGATCATAAGCCTGAACCGTATCCAAATACCTCGCCGCCTGCCCATCAGCAGCAGAAGACCGATCCGCCAATAATTCCTGAATAGTTTGTGCCATTTCGGATAGTTGTTTTAAGATTGGATACTGTTACCCCCGGCTACAGGGTACTTGCGGGGATATATACAGTGGTTTGGCGCTAATGCTTGTCGCTTCTCCACCCTGTAGGTCGGGTTTGGCTATACACTAAAGTCCGTTTGAGTCAGTAAAGTGACTCATACTCTAAAATCTGTAGATATTGCCTCGAATAGAACGAAATGGAGGTGAGGAAATACACTAATTGGGTGGTTTCCCGGGGAATGGATAAGCTTCGAGGAACCCTGGAACCAGATTGAGATCGAGATCTACATCTACATCTACACTGCATAGACTATGCAAGTATACATCTACATCAATATGGAACATTCTATCATCGAGTGTATATAGCATTGGAAATAGTCACAGAGAAAAATCGTACACAATCATGTCGCCATTAGAGAGACAAGGGAAAAAAGGCCAAAGGCCCAATAGGGAAACACAATTCCAGAATTGGAGTGAGAGATAAAAAAAACAAGCCAAAAGAGAGAGAAACAACAGTCCAGGGAATCCCCGAATAGCCGTACCGGACGGACCAAAGTCAAAGGCTTGCAAAGAAGAAGAGAAAAAAAAAGAAGGGCTAAAGAAGCAAAAGCAGAAAATAAACACCAAAAAACGCAGCGAGCATCGCGCATACTTTTTCGGTCATGACACTGTGAGTCAATCATAGCCATTTCGTGGTACAATTCAATAGACGGTCGCACCAAATGGCGCCGTCTCCTTCAAATCCTCCACCAAATCCTCAACGTTATTTAAATACCTCCCCAGAAGAGCCTGCTTCTCGTCGGTAGTGCGGGTATCCCGATTCATCTTAGCAGCCGCATGCGCAGCACTATGCGCACTGCGCGAGAAAGGCGCATTGGACAATTTACTCGGGCTGCGCTGCAGCCCAGGCGGAGGTGAGATAGGAGCGTGGGTAGGTGTCTCGGGCATGAGGTAGAAGTAGAGGAACTCGACGAGTTTGAGCTTGACTTCACGGGAAGTAGCACGCTGCTTGAAAAGCGAAGTCACGGTTAACAGACCGTCGAGGTCCTCGAAGGTGCGGGTGTTGGCGGGACAGTCTAGGAGGGCGGTGACGAGGGTGAGGAGGGTTGCGGATTGCACAGCTGGGCAGTTGATTGGGTCGAGGAGGTCGAGGAGGAGGTTCATGTAAATCTCGCGGGCGAAGAGGGAGCGCGAGCCTGGGTGGAGGAGGAGCGAGCCTTGGATCAGGTCTAGTGTGCAGACGATGAGCATGTCGTTTGTGCCGTTGCTGCCTCGGCCGAGGAGGTGTTCGAGACAAGAGACGAGGCGCATGGCGACTGGTGGATTGTTAATGAGATTTGTTTGGCTGAGTTTAGTTCGGATGGAAACGTACTGTTCCATTGGAAGCTTTCTTGTAGTTTTGAAAATTCGCGAAAGGCTGGGTCATCGCGTAGATCGGAGAGTGCTTTGGGCACAGGCTGGGGTGTATCGGCCAGACGTGATTTCCGCCGGTCAGACACGGGTTTTGGTTTGGATAGACATATTTGTGCGAGAAGACCCTCGACCTGACGCAGGCCCTTTCGGATCTTGCTGGGCTCGTACGAGGAGAGATAGTCAAACGAGTGCGCCAGCAGAGCCTCCATGAAGATAGATCAGAGTGATAGATAGAAATGATAAACCCCAGGAAAAAACAAAGCAAGCCATCAAGGTCTTATATCAAAGAAGTGTCAGTGGACCCCGATGAGGTCAGTTGGGCCCCTTCGCAGGTAAATAAGCTGCGTTGCCGTGACGACCCCCTAATAACCAAGGAACTCATCACACTTGGTGTGCTTAGCCGCCCAGATCGACTGATGGCGTTAATGACAATCGAGTTTAATTTAATTATAGGAAAAATCCCTGTCTAGTCTAGGCTTTGGCTAGGGAATATAGGGTGAGCTTATGTTTGCCTCGACGGCCACCCCGGTTGCTATGTGAACACTCAACAATATTCATATGCTATCCTTACCTGTTTCCTTGCGTACTCGCAGAGATACTTTAGTTACTCTAGTACATGTGATATATCAAATATCGCCGAGGTCTCTGCATATCAAATGATGTATCTCGGTCTTCTAGTATTCTAAGTTACTACTAACGTTACTACTACTACTACTACTAAACTACAAACACTGCTAAACTACCAACTATTAACTACTATCTAATATCTAATATCTACCATTACTAATGCTATCCCTTCATAAAGTCTGACAAATATGCAGGCATCAAGTGGCTGTCAGTTGTCTCCGCATTCTGCCCCTCCATCTTCCGTCACCCACCATATGATTCAACCACCATGAGTTCAACCAACATGAGTTCACCACCAAGTCCCATCCCCCCTCGCACCAGCTCCATGGGCGCAACAAATGGGGGGAGCCCGTCACACCGACACAGGTCATCAGTAACAGGAGAATCCTCCACGAAACACCGGCGCAACAAGTCCAGTGTCGATGGCACCAAATACAAAGATGGAACGTGGTCGGCCAAGAACGAAAAGATCCTGATAGGACCGTACGACTATATGCATGAGCACCCCGGGAAGGATGTACGACGACAACTCATCCAAGCCTTCAATTCCTGGCTGCAGGTCCCAGCAGAGAGCTTGGTGATCATCACCAAGGTAGTGACCATGTTACACACCGCGTCCCTTCTGTGAGTCACCCTCCAACCTCCAACCTCCACAATCCAAATACTAATCCTGCTCCGCGTATCCAGAATCGATGACGTCGAAGACAACTCCATCCTCCGCCGCGGCATCCCAGTCGCACACAACATCTTCGGCACAGCACAAACAATCAACTCAGCCAACTATGTCTACTTCCTAGCACTACAAGAAGTACAACAACTCAACAACCCACAAGCAATGGACATCTACATAAAAGAAATGCTAAACCTGCACCGCGGACAAGGAATGGACCTCTTCTGGCGGGACACACTCACCTGCCCAACCGAAGACGAATACCTAGAAATGGTAGGCAACAAAACAGGCGGACTATTCCGACTCGCAGTGAAACTCATGCAAGCCGAAAGCAAGACCGGCAAAGACTGCGTAGCGCTGGTGAATGTCATGGGCCTTATCTTCCAGATCTGTGACGATTACCTCAATCTCTCGAATACGGTGTATACGCAGAATAAGGGGCTCTGTGAGGATTTGACCGAGGGCAAGTTCTCATTTCCTATTATTCATAGTATTCGCTCGAACCCATCGAATCATCAGCTGCTTAATATTCTTAAGCAGAAGACGAAGGATGATGAGGTCAAGAGGTATGCTGTGCAGTATATGCAGAGTACTGGCAGTTTTGGGCATACACGGCAGGTTGTGAGTGATTTGAGGGATAAGGCTCTGGGGCTGATTGAAGCTATTGATGAGACGCCGAGGGTTAATGGGGCCGGGGATGGGCAGATGGTGCGTGCTATTGTGGATAAGATTGTCGAGTCGACGTTGTTGGATCCTAGTGCCCATTGATGTGATGGGATGGGGGTGGCTTTGTTGGATATACAGAGTCTCCTGTCATGCTTTGCAATTTGGTTGTATAGCTATGAGGTTACGAAGATATGATTCATGCTACGACACTATTCACCTGGAGTGGAGTAGAGTTGGTGTATGTAGTGGAGTATGAAGTAAATGTGCTCGATAGTATATGATTAATGTAAACGGCTATCAAGTATCAAGAAAAATGCCCTTGTTCACTTCCACGTTCATGGGTATATAACAGTCCCCCATCATGAGTGTGTCCAGGCCGAACCCAGATAATGCATCTGGCAGTCTAAACCGAAAGCAACGGAAAAAAACAGAACAAAGAAAAGTCATCAGACCAATTATCATGCATGCATATACACGTATATCCAAACACCAATATCACACCAATATCACACCAACATACAAGTAGTAACACCTCACATAACAACACAGCAAGCCTTCTCCAGCTTCCGCAGAACCTTGGGCAAGATAGCATTAGCCAACTTCTCAAGCTCGTCAGGCTGGTTCTGGTTCTGGTTCTGGTGCTGCTGGTGTTGCTGGTGTTGCTGGTGACCCTGCTGACCAGGGTACTGGTGCGAACCCTGGTGTCCCTGCTGGTGACCACCATAAGGCGGCATAATTGCCTCTCCACCAGTCAAGTTGACATAAATACGACCAGCATTATCCTCAGTGGCATATTGCAAACCGAGTTCACGGCAGACCTGCTCGACACGGGGCTTGATCTTTTGGACGTGTTGGGCGGAGTGGTTACCCTTGCCGACGATGCTGAAAAGAGTCAGTATCAGTCTCATCCCTTTGATATAAGATGAAGAGAACATACACATGAAGATGACTCTGCCCATGTGACTTGGCATATTTGATACGCTCTTCCAGAATCTCCTCCGCCTCCTCAACAAACTGACCATGCAGATCAATGGTATCATCGGCAACGCGCCCACTGGCGTTATTCTCCCGGAAGATAAACTCAGACGCTTGCTTGTTATACTCCTCCATCTTGCGACCGTGCGCCTTTCCTTCTTCAGAGAGCTGCTTCGCGCCGGCGCCATCACCGCTCGAGTATGCTTCCTTGGACTGCGGTGGGTGTTACGTTAGCCAGGGTCGGTTTAGGTACGTATGTGGTTCGATTCGATTGTTCAATTGCAGTCGCGGGCTGGAATCGAAATCACCGGAATTGCATACCCGAGAGAAACATTGTCCGCGCTTGGAGGCTTCCTGGCGCGCGAGATCGCGGAGTCGATCGTACTCGGCTTCGGCGTCGCTGCTGTTGTCGTGGTTGAAGGCTGGATTGTTAGTTGATGTTTGATTCTCGGGATGCTTGACTTACCCCTCGGGCCCATGTGGGACATTTCGTAAGACATGGTTGCCCCTGATCGCGGTCTCCCAGGCTGTTACAGTACGGAGTAAGTGATAAGGGAAGGGGAAGCTTTGCAGTGGGGCCCCGAAAAATCAGATCGATCTTGGGGATTTCCAAGGTTCGGGTTTTTGCTTATTGCATTCACTTCGGTTGTTATGATTTCTATAGAGTATAGGCTAAGTTATATAATATTACTAAATTGTTAGTTACTATAGCATTACTATAATATTTAATAATATATAATTCATTTACGATATCCCGATTGGTAAACCAGGACGGATCTACGATGTCCAAGGTATAGCCTGAAGATCCACTAAATCCATGGACGCCTCCAGGGCTGTACGGGCGTACCGAGTACGAGTACAGAATGGAGTTCTGTATCTGGAGTAATAGTGTGGAACTCCAAGCCTCTGGTTTACCTTTCCCGAATTCAGGGCAGGCTCAATAGTCTCTCGCAACGCGGTGGAGTATACAGTACAATGCTCATGTATAGAAAACGACTAGAAGCACTAGCCAGTGGGTCAACCAGTGCAGAACTTCAGGAGATGTCCAAGATTTGGCCAGTTCTCCTCCCATGTAACGCTATTGCAGATCGCTGTTTTAAGCAATACGCACACTAAATGTACTGTTATAACTACACTGAAGACAACATGCGACAGCGTCACTACAGAGTACACGTAGATATACAGTGGACTCCACTAGATAGCGATCCACGGATATGCAGCTGCAGTTACATGTACTCCGTACCTGGTACTGTATTGGGTTATCCACTAAAGAAGCCACAAAGAAGTATCAAAGAAGAAACAAAGAACCCCTGGCGCACATGCTTCAGACCGAAACGATCTGAGACGCTGATGTGAGGTCAGACCGAATCAGAGTAAATAGGGGCTGATTGTTTACGGAACTGGCTTGAATTGGCTAGATCTATTCACGTCAGCACATATTACACAGTACAGGCTAACTAACATCATAATGTTCTACTGATTTTATACTCTCAAGTATAAAATACAAACCTCAAAAGGGGGTTGCTCATCAGTCTCCACCTCAACCAATCAGACCAGCTGAATAGTTGTGTACTGGCCTGTACTGGCTGGTAATATATACCCGATACCCGCCTTTCTCGCCCCCAAAACAGCTGTATTGGCAGTGTATTGGCCGCGTATCCCCTTTTGCTGAAACTTCCCAATTTCCCCCTCTAACCCCTTACCTTCATCCTTCTTCTCTCTCTGATCGTCTCTTTCTATTCTTTCCTTTAATCTCTATTGTTTTTGTCCATTTAAGGTGAGTTTTCTGTTTCTTTGCCCTGGGATCTCCTTGCGTCGACACGCTTGCACAGATTCTGAAACGTCTCCTGCTTCTGCTTGTACCACCTGCCCTCGAACCTGAGATCGGAAGAATTTATTTCAGCTTATTTCAGCTTGCTGACAATTGATCAGACCCTCCGTAATCGATCAAAACCCCTGCCTCTCGAGACCCTTTTCACACCGTTGATTGCGCCCACTACAAACCGCCAAAATGGGTTGCGGAATGAGCACTGAGGACAAGGAGGGGAAGGCGCGGAACGAGGAGATTGAGAACCAGCTCAAGCGCGACAAGATGATGCAAAGAAACGAAATCAAGATGCTGCTTCTCGGTATGATATGCATCCTGAGGCTCAGACGCGGAGAACTGACATGCGAATACAGGAGCCGGAGAGTCGGGCAAGTCCACAATCCTCAAGCAGATGAAGCTCATCCACGAGGGTGGATACTCTCGTGACGAGCGCGAATCGTTCA